GGGGGGTGGGAGGGAGAGATGGTGAATTGAAAAGAAACAGCAACTTATTGCCACGGGCTGTCTGTCTAGAGCGGTACAGAACAACAGAGGGCCAATCATGGCAGAGAAACACGGGTGTGAACAACAGAACTGAAACTAGACAATCACTGCAACCACGTTTCCACTGGTTGATATCACCACTGACAGAGGACTTTTCCTTACTGTACTATGAAGTAAACGTTTACCGTTCTGGGCAAGCTCTTCTAGAGACCAGCTGAACCAGAATAAGGACGTTGTGTACATCTCAGCCCAAAGATTGATTAGCGGCCGTCACCAAAAATAATCTTTCTATTATCGTCAAAAAACAATAATATGACCGTGGCCCACAGCAAGGTCAGGTGGTCTTCCAAGCGGCCCACACCAACAGAGACCAGAGGAGGTTCAGAAAAATTATTCAATTATTATGCTTTCCATCAGCACACAGAACGTTCCACTGGTGGTCAGGGAACAGTTCCCATAGAGCTATCACCACTCTACACTACAGTGTACACAGCTGGTAAAAATAAAACAGAAAATTCACAGGTTCCAAATCTTCGTGTCAAATTTGTAGAGCAAGAAGGATGAGAAAGAAAATGGTAAAAGTCTCGCCAGTGAAAACAGAAAATGCCCAAAACACTGAACGAATGGCATTTAAAAAATCGGGGCTGGATGGGGAATACAAAAATAAAAGTATGGAAAAAACACTTAATGCACAACAAATAATATTTAGACAGTGAACAATCAAAAATTGAGGAGGAAAAAAAAAAACTAAAAGGTTTACAAAGTAAACAAATCAGTCAAGACTACTAATCTGTTAACTAGTCAAAACTCTGTCAAGCTTCACATAATTCACGCTAAATAAGTCACTGGGTGCAGTTTATTGAAAGGAACAAATAGCAACCAAATAATACACGGGCAAAAAGAGCAGAACCTTCCACAAGGAAAACCTACCACTCAGGCAATCTCTCACATGTGATCACAGAAACAAAAAGTGTTATTTTTTTCCCATACACTGACAGCTATTAGTGTGTAAAACTTCAACATGATACACATGAATAGAATAGAAAATATGGTAATAATATAATAGTAATGAGATGAAGGCTTAGTGATGAGGATGGTAACACATGACGGGTGAAGCAGGGGGGAGAAGGGGGGGTGACAGAGTCAGCACTTTCAGGTCAATTCTACTGTTTACTACTGCAACAAACATGGCTACACAGACAGACACACACTGCGGGAGGAGGAGTAGGATCAAACGATCATATTGTTGCCACACTCTCCCACACCAGAGCTCTTGGGAGACACTGCCCCGTACACCAGTGGCGAGTCAAGCCCCCCATTTCAGCTGGCTCCGCGTCTTTCCCGCCGGATGTTTCAGCTGGAACTTGCGCGCCCACAGCAATTTTTTCGCGAGGAAGAAGAGATCCAACCTTTCCCCCCACCCTCCGCTCCCCTCAATACCATTACGCCAGAGACAGGAGACTTTCTGCCCGTCAACTGCCACGTACCTCATCACTAGCTCACGCACAGGGAGTTGGCTCCATTCCCAGACACAAGACAAGGTCTAACAAGCCCACGGACAGACGCATGCAAAAGCTGCCCTCCTCTCACGTCAAACCAAGGGACAGAAACACGAGTCACCTCACTGGACCACTCTTCAGGGCCTCAAGTTTACCATTCAGTTTTCCAAAGCAGGACAAGATCTACCAGTCAATGTTGTACTTCCACATAAAGAAACCCTAACGGCCAACATGGAATAATACAAGATAAAACCACTATGAAAATGCACATACATACAAATACTGACAAATAAATAACTCTTGAGATAAATTTGGCGACAAGACTTATTTCTGACCCTTAGTTTAATACAAATTATATCAAACATAATAAATAAATGCAACTGATTTGCTGTTCTAAGTGCACTGACAACATACAGGGAACCAGCTGAGCATGTTATCATCTGTCAAGAACACAACAAACAAAAAACAAACCAAAAAAAAAAAAACAGACTAGCATTCACCAGAAAGAATCTGAGCCCTTCAAGGAAGTCTACTCCTGTCTCTCTCACTCTTTCGCTCTCTCAGTCTATCAAAGCCTTTAAACATACTCTGGGCCTGTATGTAATACTTGTCACTTGGGAGGGGATGGGGGGGGGGGGCATAGATCAAACAAAAGCAACTGGCTGGAGGTGTGTGTGTGGGGAGGACGGGGAGGGGGTGGGGAGAGAGGAACTTGAAACTACCCAACGCTTCATTCAACAATGTAGCAAACTAAACTGAACAACACACGCATCATGTGCTTACATGGAGTTTGTATGTATGTATGTATGTAGTGTTGCATGCTGGCAATGAGAAAATGGCTAGACTATTGAACCCAAGAAATAGGCTGGGGTGACTGGGGACTGGGAACTTAGGACCAGAGGATGATGGAAGGAAGGTTTGTTTCACATTCAGAAATGATTGAACCATTGTGTTTTTGCTTCTCTTGTCATTTTTTTTTTTCCACATTTTTTTTTACTCTTTATAAATTGTTATCATAATTAGAAGAAAAGTGTAGAATTAGTTGAGGCCCTACAAATCACTGGTTTTCGGCCTCTTGGTCCACTTCTGCCTGCGCATCAGATGTCCAGAGCTGAAAAATAAAAGAAAAAAAGAAAACACAACTGAATCAGAGGTCTCACAAAAACCATTTTCTCAAACACTATATAAAAAGTAAAATGAAAACACACTGCTTTTGGAAATTTGTATCTAACTTAATTTTCTTTTTTTTAAAAATTAAATTGATATCTTAAGACTAGTTTCCTTCAATTGTTGAAGCATCAGGATCAATCAAGTCTGCCCACTCACCAACACGTGTTTTAGAAATCAACAGATAGAAAATTAGTAAACATACATGTTGCCATGGAAAAATCTTCAATGGGGGGTCAAGGACAGAGGTTTGTAGTCCAGTTTAGTATACATGTGACGTATACAAAGGCGTGATGATACAAAAAGGCAGGAATCTTCTAACACTTTGTCAATCTTATGTTTGCCTTACTCCTGGTTTTGGCAATTCTACAGTCCCATGCTGTTGTAAGGGCAAAGTTAAGTGCAAAGAGGGTGTTAACACAATGTACTGTTAAAGACAACTGCACGAGATGTAGTAAAGTAGACTGTCCAGGCCTGGTAGTTTTTCTATCTCTAAAATTTTCTCCTCACATAACACCAGGAAGATTAGCAGTGGGTTACTGGAGTAGTCAACATTTTTCAAAAAATCAGATTCAGGGCCCAGGGGCATTACGGTCGTATTTTCGTAAAACTGAATAAAAATCATAAAGATTCCGCCAAATTTGGAATGGTGGGCAGCCCTGCTCAATTTTTAGGGGAGTCCAGGTAAGTATTTCATACCCCTGGAGCTTACCCTAGAGAAAAAGGATGTCCTAATGTGGATAGGCAGTGTTCTAATTTCAGCGAAGGAGGGACAGTCTTAGAAAGGCACTAAACCCGTCAACATTTTAAGTGCATGCAACCCACATTGAAGATACTGTATTAGCCATTGAAAAACTTGAAGAGGCCATTTCCAAATTCCAATCCTAAACTTATTACTTTAAATTTACAGTTCGAATAAATACAATTACATTTGCAACCAAAATACTGCCCCTGACAGGCAACCAACAGTGGGACCAAGATCCTGCAACAGTAGATCATCCAAGAGGACCACAGTAGAAAACAAAACAGCATCTCGTTACAAAATAATCATATTTATTCGAACAGTATATTTAAAGACAAAAGGGGTTACCAGCAGGGCCAAAAGAGAAGCAACTGGATCATCCATCTACAAATTTCTCCCCGTCATCCTATTTTCAGCAATAGTAAACAGAGACTTTAAGGGAAAAAATGTAAAAGATTTAAGACAAAACCATCCATTATCCTGTGAGGAATGTCATGGACCACTACACCTTTGCTATCACTTCAACTCTATCAACACAACACAACGGTTCTTACCGTGAGATTATCTCGCAACAGCTGCATTATCAATGTGCTGTCTTTGTAGGATTCTTCGTTCAACTGATCTAACTGGGCAATGGCATCATCGAAAGCCTGAAATAGAAAACAACATACAAGTCAACCTTTTTCCACAAAAAGTATTTTAAGAGCACAAGACTACTACATTTTCTACGCACATAAAAATACTTTGTCCCCAGAATGAATGTTATAGTTTTATTACCTCTGAGCTTTTTAAACTTTTCTGAAACCGAAGAAGCACAGAATGATCATCATGCTTTTTTCAAATTTAGAATTCAACGTTTCCAAAAAAAATAGCACCCCAAATCCCAACATCTGCTCACAATAAAACATTGAACAGAATAAATAATTGGCCCTCCGAAAATCTGACTGACAGTATGTGGAAAATATAGAAAACTGGGGGAGGGGTGGGGATGTTACTAGGGGTATGCTCCACGGCAAAAGGAAACTTGCACTATAAGGAGCTCAGTGAAAAAGGAGATTTCATAGATCAAAACTAAGCACATTGATGTTCAAGACACAGACAAGGCGAGTTCCTTTGTATTCTAATATCTATGATGGCAAGTCAACAATAAATTTTAAAAATAGCCTTATTTCAAATTGTACAATGTGGTAAGGCAAACAATCTTGTTAAGTAACTTTTCATCCACAGGCCACATATCAGCAATACCCATTTACGGCCATAAAATCCATTTGGCGTTTGGCGACAGCCTCCCCAGAAATATAACTATCCTAAACAATGGTATTACAAGTTGACTAGAGCCCCTTGAATCCTGGGAAATCCACGGGACCCTGGGAATGCAGGCATATTTTAAATAACAATCATCGATACTCGAAAACGCCTAAAGAATTTGAAAAAAAAAATCGCAGAAACCCAGGAATCCCCTGCGTATTTATTAGTCGCAAAATTTTCACAGGAAAGACCCGGAAAACAATTTTCTCTAAATACTAAAAAACGAAATCTAAGACCAATAAATTCACTTTTTGCAAGTTTTGTTCTTAGTATTCTCTTGGCTCATCCCATTTCAACAGAGAATTTCATATTCATCTCCTTTCGTCTTTGTTACCACCCAGAAATCTCAGATAACCGCCTGATAACTAACAGTTATAATTTGCAGACTTTCAACTTTTGTAGCCCGCTGTCACTTCGAGAACATACTTCTTGCAATAACAAGTTCTGGTTAGTTGGGTCCATAGTCAAGACCAGACAGTGAAATTGCTTCAATCTCACTGTCATCTCATGACATGACCTCATATGAGGATCGCACGTATCAGGGACCACTGATTACTGGGCTCACCAAAGTTCATTCACAGTGGTACAGTCCACCTCAAAGCATCTTCTGGAATTTATGAGCCAGGTAACATACACTTGAAGTATCTGACCAAGAATAAAATTTGGAACAGAATTCTAGATTTGATTGAAACAGATCTCTAGGCAAGATGCCACGCGGGGTGGGGGGGGGGGGGGGGGGGGGGGGGGGGGGAGAATGTCCTCTTTAATCGAAGTCATATCTTTTCACTGTATGAGAATGCCCACTTTTCATTACAAGGTTGATTATAATTACATTTTAGACAAGTCCAAAACTGCCATAGTTTCAGAAACACTGCACTCTTTCTTATGACCTCATGTCTAGTTTCGGTACCCATCAAATATTCAATCTATCCTTATAGTGTCCTGATTTATATCTATTCTGACCAAGTCGCACTTATCACCTGTCTTTTCATGCCTAATCAATACAGAAACAGGGGAAAGACATTCTGTCCTAAAACAAACCCTTATAAAATCTTACAACAAACGACGACGAAATCACAACAATATTTTCGAGAATGGACACTTACTAATTTTGCCAACTTGCAAGCCTCATCTGGCTCATTCATGATTTCATAGTAAAACACAGAGAAGTTGAGGGCCAACCCTAGTCGAATAGGATGTGTTGGTTGCATCTTCTCTTTCGCAATCTCTGTGGCTTTTCTGTAGGCCTCATTTGATTTGGTTACATTGGCTGAAAGTAGAAATATGCATGTATGTGTCACAAATACATGACATGATCATTTTCTTCTTGCTACCAAACTAGAACAAGAATTAACATCAGTCAAAATCTGTTCTCTTTTTATCAACTGAAACACAGACTATATCATCCAACAACAAATACAGGCAATAACACAGCAATGACTCCATACAATCTTAAAATTTAGTTTTGTCTTACAATCGTTAGTTTTTTCAAATACATACCTGCAGATCACATATATCTAACATGTGTACACCCCCATTAAATATATTATTATTTATTCACTCACTAAATATGCTCATACTAGATACACTCTAGGACTACATCTATATTTTTTCTCACTCTGTCCAAGAAGCAAAAGACTTCATTCACTCACACAAGTACTGTTGCATTGTGAACATGTTTCAAGCCAGAATACAAGAGACCTAGTCTGAAAAGAGCAAAAACATAGTCTGACAAGCAAGAGGAAAAGATTAAAATATTGTACCTTTCCTATCTTCTCCAATTGACACCTCAGACAGGTAGCGGTAGTAGTCTCCCTGCATTTTGAGGTAGAACACATGGCTATCAGAGTGGGAACTGTCATCCTGGGCCTTCTGGATCAAGTGTTTTGACAACAACTCCTGTTGGAAGACAGAACAAAAACATATAATAAATAATTAAGTCCCACTATCAGAAGTATCAAATCTTACTCACTTCCAAGTTAGAGAAACATAAAGAGACGGTATGTATTGAAAACAGACCAGAGGTATCGCCTGTGTACTATTTGCCTCCATTTACCACACAATAAGCCTCCAGATTGTTTAAAGTGACGCAAGGGTGACAAATGTTTGTCTGTTGCACGATCTTCAATATAAGTCATTGCCTATATCTGCAAGGCTAGTTCACATACACATGAGCACAGTACACGATGTATTTCATGACATCAAAGGTGTTTTAGGTTTACTTAAGTTTCTCTAGCAAAGAACACAGCTAAACATCCAAAGAATGCCAGTCGTTTCAGGCACCAATTTAAAAACTCAATATGACATTCACCATTACGCAACAATTAAGCTTTCCATACAAAAAGGCAATAAAACATATACAGCACAATGTAAAGAAATTTTTTTAGATAAACTATCATTTTTTTTCTTTTGCAAATGAGTCAAAAATCACTTTTTAAAAATTGTTTCTAAAAGTGAAACTACAAAGCCCGGATCTAGAATGTCATGTCCACTGTCACTAACCTTCCACTAGCCTTTACTACACAAACCCTCTACTAGGCATAACTTGGATCAGCACTAACACTAGAAAAGTTTGTATCTAACCTTGCAGTTCTTATTATAATGGCTATAAGAGGTAGATAAGGCAAACACTAAAAAAAAAAACATTCAGAAGTGAAAATTGCCACAACTTTTGCATTCCCAACACTTTAATGTTGACAATCATCTAGGAAATATTGAAACAGCGAAGAGGACCAAGTTTTTCTTGCCCTCCTTGAAATTGAAGAAGAAAAGAAGCCATGTTGATCAAATTACCGAAGCAAGTCTCTATGAGTGGTATAAATGTCAAATGATTGCCCCACACAGGATCATGGCAAGGTGTGAACTCATCAACGCGTGTTTTTCCCAAACATCCCACTTGCATTTGAGCCCCCCACCTAAACACATCACATGCTGGGCGGGCAGAGCCTACACAATGAGTGACAATGCTGCATCAGACAGCATCACATCAAAGTGTGAACTTGGTGCTCTTGCTTCCATGAACACTGCGCCATAAATGATACTTGTCTACTTGTGTTTCATCTCCATATATACCCCAAATTTGAAGGACAGACAGGATTTTAATTGGCCCAGTCACATCACAGTGATGTATCAAAAGATGAGCAGAGAACTCTGGTCAGAAGTGGAAAGCTATAAATTTTGGGACTGCAATGAAATCAACATAGATCTTGAGATTCACTATTGGATAAGTGAAAATGGCATGGCTCATGCCCATGTGATTGGTCATCAAGGTTAACCACTCTGTGGCCCAACCACTTGTATTTACGGGACACACTTTATCAATCGACATCTCCAGTGTTTTTCCGTTACAAGCAACGGGACACTACGAGCCATCAGTTGACCTACTTGTTTCAAATCGTGAAAAATTTGGAGACGTTATAATTATGTGCAATATACTCTTTTAGCTGTAACACACTTAGCCAACCCCGCATTACGATAGATTACAACACGGGCGCAAATAAATACGTGCCATTTCAAAAAATTGAATTCATTGATAAAATAAAAACTATTAAGGCACATTCGATGTAGTTCTCTTTTTCTACGAGAGCATTCCTTTCTTTCTTTCGTGGCATTTTAAAAAAATTTTCTTAGCTTTTGCAGACGATTCAATATACCCCAAAACTGTCAGGCTGTAATGGTAGTTGAGTGAAAAACGGCTCAGGCTCAGGTGTTACAAGAGAGAAACAAACACAGGAACAAGAAGGGGAGACAGGGATGATAGGAAAAAAGGAGCAAATAACTCCACAGAACACATGCCAACTGCCAACTGCAGACCTGCCACTCTATGAAACCTCAAAATCAGAATCTCAGGGAGAAAAAATCAGGATTTGGTGAAAAAAATCGGGATCAACAGCAAATCACCAAGGTGACTGCTAAAGCTGACTTAATATTTTTCCACGGATGTCCATAAAATACTTGGCCTATATGCCCCCTGAGTGTCTTTGTTTGTTTGCGTGCGCACGCGCGCGAGCGCGCGTGTTTGTGTGTGTGTTTGTGTGTGTGTGTGTGTGCGCGCGCATGCGAGTTATTATTTTTTGTAAATCCTGAAGCATCACGTCAAGCACTCCTAGTCCAAGTGTCTATACCCCCCCCACCAATAAGTCCCGAAATACATGAACTTAAGTTGACCCCGACAACGGACGGTCCCCGACACGCAGAACTCACATGGCGATGACATGTCACATGAAGCGAATGCGCGATTGAAACAATTTTATTAACGGTTCCGACTAACTGCGCGTTCACACAAAACTATCAGATGAGCGACAGTCGTTCCGCTTCTAGTCTAGTACTCTTGGATAACAACAGCGGCCGACCAACCAATTGTACCAACAAATCTCTTATCCCTCATAATGCGTTCAGACTAAAGTAACGACATCGGCCGAATGTTGGTCTTGTCAGCACAGTTACATGTAGTTCTGTAAGGGTTAGAAAGACAGTCGCTCGTCCGAGTGTTTGGTGTGAACACGCAGTTACCAGACCTCGGACAAGGCTTGTTTTGAAAGTAGCAGCGGAACTACAAATATTATCGATTATTTGTATGTCCCAAATTGTAACAGTTACCAGGCTATCATCGGAGAATTCTGAGTGCGGGCAAAGATCACACACAACTTGGGGCGAGTCAACTACTAAATGCGGCATCGATATTTCGGGAAATAGTGCTTCGAGTTCCTACTGACAAAAAGTTCAACGGGTGCTTCCCGCGATAAAGGAGAAGGCAGAGTACGTTTTAATAAAAATCCTACGCAACAGCAGACTGGGACAAAAATCGGGATACACACCATCGAAATCGGGAAAATTGCTTGAGATTTGGGGCAAAAAATCGGGATATCCCGACTAAATCGGGATGAGTGGCAGGTCTGCAACTGCCAACTTCGTGTGCATGTGTGCAATTATTACAGTACCCCTGTGTTTCTGATAGTAGTTGTGACACAGAAATGAAGTTAGTCAAGCAGGTTGAGCATCCCTAGGTCCCCTATATACACAGCCAAAGTGTGTGTGCTAGTCTGCTTGAGTTTGTGGACTACTAGAACCTTCTGCGTTGGTTCAACAGACACGTACATCCATCTCATTCAAAATGTATTATGCTGGTAATTTCAGATCTTCGTTAAAAAATTGGAACAAACCGACCCATTTAGACATGAGGAACTCGAGAGGATAACCAGGAAACAAGACTTCCATTTTTTTTTAAATCTTTCAAAATATCATGATTTTACAAAAAACGATATTCCCTGATAAAAAAATCTATTTGACGGGTCTGAAAACTACTATGCTGGTAAAAAGAAAAACTTTTGAGCAAAAGATTAGGAAATAGACCAACATTTTTTTCCTTACGAACCCCAGATTGTTCTTCACAACAACAGCATCTAAAAGGTTAAATGAACAGGCATAGCCACTCGTAATAACTTAACTTATGAGAGGATGTTATTCGTGTCTCCATACTTATTTCTAGAAAGTTTCTGCATGCTATAAATGAAACACAGCTTTATTTTCATTATCGATTAACACTCCCCTTCCCCCACTGTATTCATGGTGAAAACATGTTTGCAGTATTGTCTGCTCGGCATCCTCTGACCCGAGTGATCCTACCGGGAACGCTGGCTGAGAGAACTTAGGTCTCATCAATAGATTTCATCTCTTAGCAATGCCAAAGAAAATTTAATTTTTCGCTTTAGCCCTTTCTTATTAGGTACCTAAGAAAGAATTTTAAATTCTAAGAATTATGCTTCTAGAATTTTAATAAGCGGTTCATAAATAAAAAAGTTACTGATTGTAAAGGTCGGGAAAATATGGATGACCCACATATAGGAAAATATTCCTAAACAGTGCACCACGTAGTAGCAGATTCTGTAAGATAATCGAAGATATCTTTGTAATTAATTGGAGTGTTAGAGAGAAACTTGGCTACCCAATGTGTTTTCGGGTGGAGAAATCATTTCTGCCGTCAGATTTACTAACCATTTCATAGCTACTTTTGTTATAATTAAAAATTTGGTGTACATATTACGATTTTGCGGTGTATGTAGTCTCAGTATCTACGTACACGGTAACCGGGCACCTAGTCTCAGTATCTACTTATACGGTAACCGGAATGAAAATAAATCAATATTTGTCCTGAGCTGTCACTTACTGAAAAAAAATGAAAGTCATACAAGCGTCTTGTTGGGCTCGCCATTGTGAACAGTCAGTGAACCTGCGCATGTGCATCACATTGTGAGTACCGGTTGGGGTAACCAAAGTTCATTCAAAGTCTGCGCGCTGCGAAGTACAGGGCTCCGGAATGGGGGGATTATTGATTTTTTTTTAAAGGTACAGTCGGGGGAGAGGTGGGGAAGAAGGCAACACCGGATGACAAAAACTGAACTCTGGAGTTTTGAACTGCCCAGTTACCCAGTACGTGACACTGAGACTACATGCTCGGTTGCCATGTACGTAGATATGGAGGCTACATGCCTGGTTACCGTGTACGAGACACTGAGTCACTGAGACTACGTGCCCGGTTGCCGAATACCATGTACGTAGACACCGACTAGGTGCACGGGGGTGTCGGGATGAGTCCATTTTTTTTAACAGCATCGTATCACAACATGGGATCTTTAAGAATATGTTGGCAGCGTGACAAAATAATGGCAAAGCTTTCTTTGATGACTTTATACTATGCCAACCTTAACACATTACACCCTAACTCGCCCGGGATCGCCCGGGAATTCCCTTACGCGCTCCACCCTGACTCGCCCGGAACCGCCCGCGCCGACCCAGCGTCTTTAGAAACGAAAGTCTCGCCTTGACGAGACTCTGGGGCCGGGATTTTGATTTGCATAGTATAGCAAAAAGTTTCTTCTTTCGTTTGATACCGAAACGAAATTTTCCGGGCTAGTAATTTTAGTATTAGAGCTGATCGAAGTGCGATCGCGTTACCGACACTTCGAAAGTGCCTCGACTTGATGAAAAGCGACACAATTGAGTTCGAAAACGGAAATAACGATGGATTTGAGCAAAAACGAGCATGTGACAAATCAGATGGCTCAGATTTTGATGAAAACGTTGTAGGAAGAGTTTGGGGCGATTCCGATTGATCAGACGGAGAAATTATAGAATTTAGATCTAGGGCCCGACCGCGAGGCTGAGAGTGAGAGTGACGGGTCGGACACCCCGATTGAACTAAAGTGAGAACATTTCCAACAGTTAGCGCATACATAAAGTTATATTTTTATGAAACTACATTAAGTCTTCTTTTTAACTTTTATTTTTTCAGGATTTTTGGAATTTGTTTAGTATTTTTAAAATGTGTTTTTTAAACGCTAGTATTCAGGGGAGGTGGGTTCTTTCCCCTTGCTTAGGATCTAACAATGGACTTCCCGTCCAGGCCCTTAGGGTGTAATGTGTTAAAGAGATAAGCTAATTCAATCTAGCATGCCGTACAATTAAAAATTATTTTTCCCTGTTGAGACAAAGCTCGCCTCGGAATACCCCAATTGCGATGTTACAGGGGAACAGAAAAAAACAACCAGATGCATGCGCCCGCCACTGCCCTATTTCAAGTGACCAATGAACGGGCTCGGAATAGTCAAGCGGGGATTTGTAGGTCACATACATTTGCCGCTAGAGTGAGGGGAAAATGGCCGGTCTCCGTGCGAAGCCGCTTTGGATAGGGGGGTGGTCAAGCATTTATGATCGGGTCTAAACAACTACTCAACACAGAACGTTCAAATTTGAGCACACTATAGAGGATACACAAATCTATTACCATCCCGGCGTTGAAATTCAAGCGAAACCAAAAGTATAGGTTAATTTATGTGTACGAACTTCAACGTCCACATATCATTAGTTTGCCCTATTTTCTGATTGGTTGCCAACTTTCACTCACATTGGTCCAGAAATAGAGCAGACCGAGGTTGAGAAATTTAGTCACCTATGCCATGACCCGGTCCAAAATTCACCCGCAAACGGGGACCAGATTTTCGCCGCGCGGGAAACCCAGAGTGGCCTTGCTACATCTCTAATAATTTTTCTGATTTCAATAAAACGAGAAGATTTGAAGACTACACCCCTTACAACGACCCCAGACAGTCTTCCACAGGATGACTAATGTCAATGAGCTTAATAGTAGGCCAAAGTAGCCTCTAAACAGCTCTAGACTAGACTTTAGGCTGTGATATAATTATATAGCATGGTGTACACTATCACTTTCCCTACCAAAAGTAAAAAAGAGGCTACTACTACACACTAGGGCCTAGGCTACTGAATTATTTAGGTTAGGTTAACAAATTAACAGAATTATGCATGAGGGTGCAGCTTATGAGGTGAAGAATTCCTCCTGACATCTCAATTTACACAGAAAATACCTGACTACAAGTAGAATACCAGGTAATATTTGAAAACCAATCCATCCCAGTTATTTTTCTGATTTTCAATAAAACAAGACACTTGAAAGAGAACACCCCTTGCAAAGGTCACAGAACAGTCTACCACACATGATGACTCAGTCACATTATGAACACATCACTAAAAGAAAGCTTAGGCTAGAACCTAGAATATGATAACTTGAAAAGGCAATACAAAACATGACCAAGACATCTTTCTTTCAACATAAAGCAAAATAACTCTGGTCAAGACCATCTACACACAATGCACAGGCACAGCACACGGACAACGTCAACACATTGAAATCGCTGGCAACCAGCAAAGCAAAAAAAATGCTTACCAGGACGTCATTGCATATCTGTTTCAGTTCCTCTTCGATAGTCTCTCGGTAGGCTTTAGCCATGAGCAATTTTTTCTCACTACCTTCCGTCTTTGACTCTATGCTGGAAACTACTCTCCATGCTGATCTTCGGGCACCTACAACATTTTTGTAGGCGACAGACAGGAGGTTCCGCTCCTCGTTGTCGAGCGGCGATCCAGACGAGTCGGTGTAGACATGATTTACACATTTCTTCATGGCATCAGCCATATCATCATACCTTTCAGCCTGCTCTGCGAGCTTGGCTTTGTGCACATACTGTTCCTTGGGTGTGAGACCTTGACTACTCATTTTTACAGCCTAAATTGTACAAAAGCAGACTCAAACTCTGCTGGAATGAAACAGAAATATTCCAAGATGGCGAATGACTTGCCCTACTTTTGGATATTACTCACATAATTCAATAATACTTCTTCTGTTTAAGATATCCAAAAATACGGGATTGCAAAGAACGAAATATGTTATGTTAGTGCTAATTAATCAGATTTGTATACATTTACAGCCAAATTTCGTGTGCAATTAATTTCTAATTTGGAACTTATTTTATACGGGTAATTTCACTTCCGCAAATTCTGCAACCGTGAGAAAATTACTACGCATTATCGGGGAATGCGAGTACGGAACTTAGCCGAAAGATTTGACGTCACATGTTTCCATGGCAACAAGAAAATGAATTATTACATCCAAAGACTATTCTTCTGTTGGGTACATCCGACTAAGCATTTATGTCTTCATTGGACCGAAACAGTGTAACAAATTGAATTTGATGCAAAAAGAATTCATGTTATCATTCGAAACTAAAGGCCGGATAAAATGCAAGTGCAACGCAAATTTTCGGTATGCTCCATATAAAAATGGTACAATTAAAGAGTCGCGTGTCATTGAAGTCTACTTTGTATAACAACAATTAATTATTGCAGTAGGCTACATCTGTTCGTGCTTACAAACTTTCTCATAGGAATTAGTGCTAAAATCTAAAGATCTGCTTATGTGTGCCTTACGTTGCTTTAAAGTTTTTATCTTTATTCCTGTAACTTCGAGGCCATGGAAATGAAAGATCTAAGTACACTAGCTCGTCTCCGCCAAAGAATACCCTATGTAGGATAATGAATCACACTAGATCTAACGGTTTATCCCTACAATCTGAATGACAAATCCGCCTATGACCTCGATTTGAGAGCAAGGCAACAGACTTTTCTTTCTTATGTGTAGGCTTAGTTGTTTTACTTTACCACAGTTTGCGCGGATTGTGATGACAGACGAAGGAATGTACAAAAGCCGCTGGCGTGGACCAACGGGCAGAGAAATCTACACACTAAGTAGACATATCTATAGTACAGAATCTTTGCTTATCTGAGCGGATTTGTTGGGTTTTTTTAAAGTTTGTTCTTGCTCGGGCATGAGCTTTTCCGAGCGATCATAATTTTTAAAAAACAAACTATAACGTTTTCGGGGGTCTGTCAATATATATATATATTATCTCAGTCACTTAATTTCTCTTTTCGCAATGTCAAAGAGTCCGTATGAGTAGGAATTTTGGAAACAGATTGTGGGTTTCATTTTTAAAAATTAAAAAAACCGACGTTTGCGACAAGCTGAGTGAATCAAATATCTGCTTCTTCTTCATTGTCTTCTGACCCTCCTTCTTTTCAGCCATAACATTAACATAATATAAGACTTTTGCCACGCAAGGAGTTTACTTACAGTAGTTCTATTAAACTCCTTGCTGCCACGTTAAATCGATAGGCTACCTTCACACAGACAACCGACCCACGTTGCAACACCATTAAATACTGGCTGGTCGTCATCCGTATCCTTCGAACTAGGGCTGGGCAATGAGTCGCTTTAGCAAAATTCGAATAATATGTTAGTGCCTTTCTTCGACAAACGGATTAGAACCACTTCAGCAAGTGGGAGCACGCACTTCGGCAAATGGGTCAGGAAAGAGAGTTAAGAGTCTGAATTCGGATAATGTTTCATTGAGAATTATCCAGTTATCCGGATAGATTATCTGGATTGTGCCCACCACTACTTCGAACAGTTAATGTGGTCTGACCTAGGGTCTGGCGGACTGGACTCATAAACGGTTTTCATCGGTGCACCGTTCAGCTCTAAACACCCATTGTAATTTTTTGATGAAATATTATATCTTACTGGCAATAGTGAGGCCCGAGCTGGACAATGATTTGCCAGAAATATACATGTAGATTCATTAGTACGTGTGCATAATGTAATATGTCTGTGGTTATTTTGTGAAATTAAGAAGCAGTAGTTCGATCGGACCTCTGAATGAATTTTCCATGATGCGAACGAAATTATAACTTACGCGCATTTACCGTTAGTGAAGGAAAAGAATGATCAGAGGAGGGATCCGGCTTTTTCAACAGACATAATCCGACATTTTGATCTCGAGATAAGTAAAATAAGGGATCTAACAATTAGGCAAAACCTTTATAGTCTCGGCGATCGACCCCATAAGAGAGCTCGCACACATTCCTAACCTAACGTTTTGTGTAACTCAAACTGAATTGAAAGTGAAGACCCCCCCCCCAAAAAAAAAAAAAAACTACATCAACTATGCTTTGTTAATTAAACTTAAATTAGTAACATTATGCATGCTGCTTTCTACGGACCCGGCCTTGAAGAAAACATCTTTGCATATTATGCAAAATAATATAATATAGTAAAGCAGAATGCTGAGATTTTAATTTTTAGAGCAAGTTCTCGGGTACGAAAAAAAAGAGATGATGATGATGATGATGATGATGATGATGATGATGATGATGATGATGATGATGATGATGATGATGATGATGATGGGCGGCTGGTGGTTTATAGAACTGACCGGCTGTAATTTCCATCGATACCCCCCTCTCCCACACACACATCAGAACTTCACCCATACAACAGACAGACAGACAGACAGACAGACAGACAGACAGACAGACAGACAGACAGACAGACAGACAGACAGA